TTTATTCGAAAATGTATTATATTTACTTTTTCGTTGATATTGTAGAATGAGAACAGTAGTGAAGGTCAGTGTTTAGTCAGACGACGCTGTGAGTAATATGACAAGTAGTGCGCATACAATTTTAGTCAGACGTAAGTAGTAATAGTTGGTTTATGATCAGACAATACTGTTTCTTTCTTTACGTTTGGTTTTATTCGTTGGAAAAAAATATTTATATACAAATTTCTTTTTCTTTTCTGTAAATATATTTAACACACTCAAAGGTTGTGTCATCCGATTTATATGTTAATTATTTTAAACATCTCTTTTGAAGTCTCTCCAAGGGTAATATTCTGTAATTTCACTTCACCTCATTTTCACCTTCACTTCACTTAAAAATTCCTTCGTTTTCACTTCACTTTCACTTTCACTTTACTTCACATTCACCTCACTTTAACTTTACTTCACTTCACTTTCACTTCATTTTAATTCACTTCACTTTCACTTTCACTTTGCTTCACATTCACCTCACTTTAACTTTACTTCACTTCACTTTCACTTCATTTTAATTCACTTCACTTTCACTTTGACCTCACTTTCATTTTACCTTGATTTCACTTCAATTCACCTTTACTTTTCATTGACTTTACTGTCACTAAATTAAGGTAAAGTAAAGTGAAAGTAAAGTGAAAACGAAGTGATAAGAAGTAAAGCGAAATGGAAGTGAAGTGAAAGTGAAAATGAGGTGAAGTGAAGTGGAAACGAAGTGAAATGAGAAGAAAGTCTAGCTTTCCTTCACTTTCACTTTACATTCATTTCACTTCATTTCACCTTAACATTTTATTCACTTTACTGTCACTAAAGTTAGATGAAGTAAAGTGAAAGTTAACTGAAAACGAAGTGAACTGAGGTGAAAGTGAAAGCGAAGTAAAGTAACGCAATTCTGTAATTTCACTTCACTTTCACTTCACCTCAGTTTCGTCTCACTTTGACATCATTTTCACTTTACATTCATTTCAGTTCACATTACCTTCACTTTTCTTTTATTTTACTGTCACTAAAGTTAGGTAAAGTAAAAACTAAATGAAAGTGAAAATGAAGTGAAAATGAGGTGAAGTGAATGTGAAAACTAAGTGAAAATGAAGTGAAGTGAAAACTAAGTGAAAGTGAAGTGAGGTGTAGTGAAGTAAAAACTAAGTGAAAGTTAGGTGAAGTGAAAGTGAAAGTGAAAGTGAAAATGAAGTGAAAGTAAGGTGAAAGTGAAAGTGAAAATGAAGTGAAAGTAAGGTGAAGTGAAATAACAGAATATCATAGTTCTTTGAAAGAACTAATGCTTTAAATAATACAATAAAATAATTAAAAAACCGTGTAGTCTACTATTTCGGATAATTAGCTCAAGAGAAATAATTGAAATCGAATGTTTCTTTTATGAATAAAATTGATAGTGTCCTATTCATATATGTGAGAGAAATTGTAGTTGCAAACCGGAAGGGAATATTCCTTCAATTCCCTTGAGTGACCTTTAGGTCGGTGCATTAGCCCTTGAAACATTGATCACGTCGTTCAATATACGACGTCTACGTAAACCTATGTGCACGCTGTCAGTTGCAGGGAAACGATGCCAGTTTACAAAGCTTCTCTTCCTCTCAACCACTTTGCCTTTTCTGTGGAAAAATACCTTCTTTGAATTTTACGAGAGCCTCTTGAAAAATGAATAACCTCTTTTTTTTATATTCACTTTATCTAACTCACTCGAAAACATAATCGATTCACTGGACTAAATTATTAAATCAAATTACAATTAACATAAACAGTTTTCAAGTAAACAAAAATAATTTTTAAAAAATTCTAACATTCATAATTACTTAATATGATTTGTAAAACGTAACATTAATTTCAAATTTTACATACTTTTATTTTATTTCTAAACTTTACATTTTCAGGGCTCAGATGCTTGATTTTTATTAACGCTCGATGGAATTCAATTGTGTGAAAGGATCGAATCGACTTTACAGAATTCCAAGTTTCATGATCAATTTTAGTGTTCCATTTTGTAGAATGCGGTGTAAACGCAATGCGAATGTGCAATATATAAATCCTATTGCTGTTTATGGCGGAACGAAGAAGCTCTTGGAGTAAACGAAACGAAAAGCTTCAGATAAGAGCAGAAAAGTTGTAGAGTTTAAAAAGAAAAGAAAAAAAATATAAATCGATACTATATACAAAAGAAGATAAATGTATTAGAAAAAATTTAACAGAATTATAAATCTAGATTATTGAATTAGAAATTTATTAAGTTTATAGTTGTAGTAAAATAGGAAAAATGTCCTTTTTTTTAATGATGTTTGAAATAGAAAATATAATTTCGAATCTTGAATTGAAAAAGTCGAACTGATGAAATGCTGAAAGATAATAATAATTAACACTGAAGAAATAATGAATTTAATCAGATAACAATATTTTTCATTTTTTAATACTTGTTTCTTAAGTGAATTATATTTAAATTATAAAGTTACATTAATAAATTTATACAGAACATTTCTATTTAATTTAATGATAGAAATTAGTTGGAGAAAACATTGTGCGCAACCGAATGGGTAGATACTTTGAGGAATCCCCGATTTTATAGGCAGCTTCCCAGCAAATCCCTTTCAGCGCGCTTTCAGCTACTCTACGCTTTGAAAGTTTCCTCAGCTATCGGATTAGAGGGGATGAGCGTTTTGCTCGTCACCGTTTCATTGTTGTCCCACGTTTACACGGTTAAAGCGATAGACCAAACTCGAGGCATAAAAATAAATTATTTCTCATGTAGACGATGCCGTCGCGCCGTCAGATTGTCACTTATGTCCAAGTTGTCTCTGGTCATTAACTTTTTAACTGTGGATTTTATTTTAAAAATTTGTTTCGTTAAATTTGCTCCTGTAGAAAAAAAATGCTATTTATTGATAAAGTGGCTTTTTAGGTTCTCAAAAACCCCTTAGTACCAAATAATACCAAAGTTCGTTAATTTTTTAAAACTTTGTCCACCATATTGGATCCGCCATTTTGAATTTTGAAAAACTAAGTTCAGATTCGTAATCAGCGACCTCAAAAACCCCTTGATACCAATTAATATATAAAAGTCCGTGAAATTTTTAAAATTTTGTCCGCCATATTGAATCCGCCATTTTGAATTTTGAAAAACAAAGTTCCGATTCGTATTCAGAGACCCCAAAAACCCTTTGATACAAATTAACACCGAAATCCGTTAATATTTTAAACTTTCGTCCGCCATATTAAAGCCGCCATTTTGAAATTTGAAAAACAAAGCTCAGATTCGTATTCAAAGTTCCTTTTTAAATGCAAAGTTTAAAAATTAGAATAAAAACCTTAAAGTAAATTTTGAAACATTAATCTTTAAATCATTTAAATACATAAATTTTTTAATACATGGAAATATTTAATGTATTTGAGGGTGGGCACAATTATTTTATTTAAATAATTAAACAATTTTTCTTTCAAATTTAGAATGATTTCCAATTTCCTGATTTCCATTATTAATGACTCTAAGTTTATAAAAGGTAGTTTTGTAAATTATGAACAGGACAATTAAAAATTAAAATTGAACGTTGCTAACTGAATAAAAGGGTTGATTTTAACAGCTATAAAAAATTTATTAAAAAAAAAATTAATATTTATTGACTTAATAATTAAAAATTACTGTGCGGATATAAAAAATTTATATAAAAAAAAATTAATATTCATTGACTTAATAATTAAACATTACTGTGCGGCTGCAATTAATATTTAATACTTCCATGTATGGTAAATCTTTTAACCATGCGCGGTTTTATAAAAACGAATAAATTTCAATTTATAAAAAAAAATTTTTTTAATAAATTTAAAGAAGAGTTAGTCATTAAAGAAGTATTAATAGTCATCAAATAGAAAACAAAATATAATAAAATAAAGTAATCGAAATATTATACAATAATAAATGAACATCAAATAACCAAAATCGTAAAATAAAAAACAAGAGAATTAATACATATTAGGAAAAATAATAATGTAAGTATAAAAGATACAATTTTATCAAATTATAGTAACAGTCAGAGCTCAAAAATTTGTCATAAATAAAATAAAAATTCGTCGGAATATAAATAATAACTACATTTGAACAATATAGTATCTGAAGTCTAAAATTTAAAATGAGTTAAAATAAAATTATAAAACAAAAATTAATTAAAAATTAAAGAATAAAATAAATGAAAATATAGTTGAAGTTAAGAATTAAATTCTAACTTAAAAAAAATAATAAATAATCAAATTACATTAAAGAACACATATAATAAATTTAAACAAATAAATAAAAACAATAAATAAATAAAAGATAATTAAAACAAAATTTTTTTTATTTTATGAAATTGGATAATTTGGATTTTATACTAAAAACTAATAAATATATGGTAAAAAGTTTGGAATTCTAAGTTTTCATTGTTTTTAAAAAAAAATTCCCCAAAAACGCTAAAAAATGTCCGTCACACGGAATTGACGCCCTTAACTAAACAAATATTTTTTTTGGATTGGATTTTTTATCAGAAAGTATCAAGGCCGTAACAATATAATAATATTCTTAACTATAGAGTGTGGTAAAATTGTTTTTCAGTAGAGTTGATAATATTATTCATCATCTAGTATGAAGATCTTTTTTATTAATTATATAAAAATTAATTTTTTATCAAATTTGGTATCTAGGGGTACTCGCGATCTCTGATTACAAATTTGATGTCTGATTTTAGAAATTCAAAATGGGGGATCTAATATGGCGGACTACTTTTTTAAAATATTATTGATTTTTTATGAAACTCGTTACTCGGGGGCATATGGTCGTAAAATTGTTTTTATTTTAGTAAAGTTGATAATAATATTATTCATCATCTAGTATGAAGATCTTTTTTTTTCCAAATGCATATATGGTAAATTTAATCGATGTTAATATAATTCTTGTTGAACAGAAAAGGGATTTGTGGGGAAAATCATCTCTATTAATAAACAGATTTGTGTTGACAGTTGAAATAAAGAGAAAAATGAGGGAAGGAGAGAGTGAATTTTCTATTTTTCAGTGGTGACAATTCTCGAATGAAGTTAAAAATAAAAATACAAAGTATAAAAAGGACATACAAGTTTGAGGGATGCAGGAGGAAGAATAGAGAAAAACAAAGATAAAAAAGAGAGGGCAAAGAAAAGCGAATGAGATTGTCGTGAGAGGAAGTAAGATAGCTTGAGCTTGTCGTTGGAGGAAGCAGAGGTTCCTCCTTTTCAGCCCCCAATGTAGTGGTGGCGTACCGTCTATATTTTATATCCGGTATACGGCGGCAAGTGTCGCTGGAGCGCAGACTCAGGCCAACTGGGGTCGGCCGCCTCGTCAGTTACTTTTCGCGATTCACCGAGCGCGTTCCACGAGATATCGAGTGCCGTCAGCCTCAACTATTTCACCAAAACAACGTCAACACTATTAAAAAAAATTAATTCACACCATTTCTTTACATTCTAATTTTTCACAATCACCATCATTCCCCATTCAGTGATGACACAATTTCCATCATAAAGTTGTCATTGTCTTTGGAAATAAATTTCCATTGTTTTTTTTTGGCGGGAACTTTATTCTAACACGAGCGCAACAAATAAAGAACACAAGTAACTAAAACCAAAAAATAAACCCGTCACTGTCGCATCTCGACAAAACGTGTGACGAAAACAAATTATTCCAAATGAAAAAATAAATTGTGTCAATTGATAAAATAATCTAAACAGATTTCAGCAAAAAAAAAAAGCAATTAAGTAAAAAAAAAATCCTCCGCTTCGAAGGGAAGGTAAACAAATCGGAACGAAATCAACAGTAAGCAATTGAAAGCGGAAACGAAAATTGAAACAAAACGTAAACATTGTTCAGTAAAAACAGGGGCGAGTAAATTGAAACATACTAAAGAACAAATAGAGCCCAAAAAGATGTAAAAAAATATATCGAAAATAAAAAAAAAATTTCGAAATAAACCAAAGAATTAACCATTTAATTTTCTCCCTTGTAAAATGACTACTCTCATGTCAGATAGAAACAAAAACCACAGTTAAGAAAAGTAAATAAGGAGAAATTTCCTTCTAAAAGTAAATAAATCGAAGCAAAGTGAAAGAAAAGAAAACAAACACAAGACTGTACTTAACTCTAAAGTAAACGAGGAAGCAAATTAAAGGAAAAAAAAACAAGAAGCACAAAATAAATTCAAAGTGAACAAGCATAACAAAGTGAAAAGAAACAGAAACATACAGTGAAATATTGAATAGTGAAAAAGTAAGAAAAAAAATAGTGCTTAAATAATTTTTTCAGGTAATGGAGAACTGCGGAAATAAAGAATAGTGAATAATCAATTGTGTTTATTGAAGGAAATAAATTCAAAAGGTTGGAAAAAAAAACTTCAGGAAACGGTGAATCAATAAAGAGTACAAAAACTAAATAAAATCCAAATTTACATTAACAATTATTTCAACAAAACAAATATTGTTAAAGATCAGAATTTAAAATTTAATCTCTAACGATTGTGGTAAACAAATAAATAAGAATAATAAAAAAAAATTGAAAGCAATTTAAAATTTTCCAAAATTTGTATGCATATCGGGCATTGTGAGAGTGGAGGAAAGGCAATAAGAGTCAATTGGAAGAGAAGGAGTACGATTTGCTGTTATCTGGGAATTCGAGGACTTTCGGCGCATCGTGCAAAGGGAAATTCCTCGCAGGAGAACGAAGCCGCGCGATAACGAGAATCCGGAAGAGGGACACAAGAGAGAAAAAGAGAGAGAGAGAGAGAGAGATAGAGAGAAAGACAAGGAAACTAGTGGATTGTCCACGCGTTCCAACGTTGTGTACGTGTAACGAGTTTTCGGGACGTTTTCCAATCGAGCACGAACGAAAAAAAGGGGGGTAGGGGAATGGCATAGTGTGACGGTTGACTCGTGACTTGGAATTTATGGGATTTTGTTCGCTCGATTTTCCCAAAACGAAATCTACAGTCATATTTGACAATTGCATTCCAAATTCTCTTGATGCTTTATATACATATATATTATTAAAATCCAGTGAAACGATTGCGCGTTAATTAATTGATTCACCCTTTGTAAATCCCTCGCGTTCCAAAGTGACTTCCACAAAGTGCACGAACGATAAGACAATTCAGTCGTATCCACGTGACGTTATTGTCAGCATCAATGAGAAAGGGAATCAAGGCATTGAATTAAGGTCAGTTTACAATTTTGAAAAAAAATTCTTTTATTTTTTTCTTTATTTCTCTTTTTTCATTTTCTCAAAAACGACAACGTTCATCAAAATTTTATTTTATTTTTCACATAGAAAAAAATAAAACATTTTTGGAAACGAGGACCAAAAAAAAATACCCGTGTCTGGACATTTTGATAGATACAGTCGTTTGTGGCTTCTAGAGGCGTAAACAACCCTTAAATGCGAAAAGTGACAAGATATCTTTTTGAAAAATATTAATTTTCTATCAAATTTGGTACATCGAAGCGTTTCCCGATCGTTGATTACGAATCTGATGTCAGACTTACAAAATTCAAAATGGCGGATCCAATATGGCGGACGTGTTTTTAAAAATACTATTGATTTTTTATGATATTTCGTAACGAGCGATTTTCAATGTTGCTGATTACGAATCTGATGTCAGTTTTTCAAAATTCAAAATGACGGATCCATATATGGATTTTTAAAAATTAACGGCGGATGTCAGACAAATTAAATCGATTTTCAAAAAAGTTAACTTTTTTTAAAATCGATTCAATTTGTCTGACAACCGTCAATTTTTAAAAATTTTATGCAGCACATAGTGTAGAAATTTCGCTGGGGCCCTGATCAGGGCCGGATAGGGCCGACCTCTTAGGGAATGAAACGCCGCGCCCAATATGGCCCTGATCTGGAAATCCACATTTTCTTGTCGCCCCGATCTGGGCCTGATCGGGCGCGGCGTTTCATTCCTTACTATGGCCCTAGTAGGGTAATTTCTACACGGGAGGATCCGCCATTTTCAATTTTAAGAAACTATGTTTAGATTCGTAATCAACGACCTTAAAAACCCCTTGATACCAATTTCTACCATAATCCGTTGTTTTTAAAAAATTTATCCGCCATATTGCATCCGTCATTTTGAATTTTAAAAAACTAAGTTCAGATTCGTAATCAGTTAGTGACTTCAAGAATCCCTTGATACATATTTATACCGAAATCCGTTAATTTTTTAAAATTTAGTCCGCCATATTGAACCCGACATTTTGAATTTAAAAAACCTATGTTTAGATTTGTAATTAGCGACTCAAATAATCCCTTGGTACCAACTTATACCGAAATACGTTAGTTTTTTTAAAGTTATCCGCCATATTTGATCCGCCATTTTGAATTTTGAAAAACTGAGTTTAGATTTATAATCAGCGATCAAAAAACCTATTAATACCAATTAATATACCAAAATCCGTTAATTAAAATTTTGTCCGCCATATTGGATCCGACATTTTCAAATTTGAAAAACAAAGTCCTGATTCGTATTCAGAGACCCCACAATAACCCTTTGATACGAATTTACACCGAAATCCGTTAAACTTTTTAATTTTCGTTCGCCATATTAAATCCGGATTTAAAATGGCGGCCGCCATTTTGAATTAAAAAAAACTATGTTCAGATTCGTAATTAGCGACTCGAATAATCCCTTGATACCAACTGATACCGAAATCCGTTAGTTTTTTATTATTTGTCCGCCATATTGGATCCGCCATTTTGAATTTTGAAAAACGAAGTTCAGATTCGTAACTGTAATAATACAGAAAACATTTTTACCGACAAACGAAAGTAAGAAGTCTCTCACAAGCGGTGAATTTAAAAATAAATTCTTGAATTAAAAATGGTTTTAAAAAAAACATAAAAAGAGAAAAAGAGAAGGAAAAAAAGTTCATTCTTTTCTTGTTAATAATACCTGTAATAAAGTTTTGTGTATTGTGTACGAGAAAATTTATTTCATGTGAAAAGAGTGTGCTACCATTCTTTTTTCTTTATTTTAACTACACGAAACGTGGAAATAGAATTAAAAACCAAATTTGGATTTTCTGCGAGAAAAAACTCATCTAAGTAACCACAAAAATACAACCACAATGTCGAGAGAAGTTTATTTTGATAAAGCAGCTCGTTTATCTTTTTTTTATATATATATATATATAACTTAATATCTGACCTTTTGTGAGTTTGAGTTTTTTTTTTATTATTCATCTTGTTCCCTCCCACACGAAAGAAGCAAAAAATAAAGATAAATAAAGTCTTCTATTCAAGGAACATATTTGTAATATCTGATAAACAAAGGAAAAATAAAAAATTTATACCAACCTTTCATAACCTGTCTATATTTTTTTGTTGGAAAAAAAATTGAATCCTTGAAGAAAGGTAAAGAAAAAACTAGTTATAAATATATAAAAAAAATTCTACTTTTGGATTCGAAACTTAAAGGTTTTTATTGGAAAAATGAGAAAATCGTGGGAGGAGTTGAAGGGGGGGATGGCAATTTTTCAGATGAAATGAAGGTGTATTATCCCTCTTCTTCACTCTTCTACCGTTAATTCAATTAAAGTCTAGCAATCGACAAGGTTATGCGATACACGGTGTGCGCTACGAGAGTGAGTCTCGAAGGAACAGCTTCCGTTATTACTGCAGCCGTCCTCTGATTACATCCGGCAGACGAAGGTTAATGAAGGCTAATACCTTGACGTTTGCGGTATATACAAGTCATCGTAACTTAGGAAAAGAGCTTTTCAAAACTTAGTTTTCCTGCGAAAATCAATGCTTTATTTTTTTTTTTAACGAAGCTTATTTATTTACTAATTTAATTTATTCTCCTCTCTTCTCATACCATTTGCCTCCAACCATATTTCTAGGATTAATTAAATTTTAATTAGTTTTCGTATAGAAATTCGTTTTCACGTATTCTCTGTGAAGAAAAGACCTTCTGGCATAAGTCCGTTAAATCCGATAACACTGTTTGTACCCTACAATATTTGCAAGTCACACACTGGGTTTTTGTTTTAAAATTGCAGTGATGTTCTGAGTTTATTAGCGTCGAGAAATTTTTTTCTATAAAAATGCTAGTATCTCATAGAAACTTTAAATCCAGAATGAATTGAAATTTACCACCAACGAAGGAAGTTTGGGGTACTTTAGTACCCCAGTTAGGAAATAAGATATGAACCGAGTATAAGAAGCCTAGGGTTAAAATTTAAAAGCAGAGTGCATATTCCTTATGACAACTAGGATAAAAAGACAATGGAAAAGTATTTTTCTTTATAAAATATGTTTAATGAATGAGTAGATTTTAAATTTATGAACAGTAAATTAAAACACCTGTTGAGGTATGTGAATTCAAATTTAATTAATTATCATATACAATTTCATTTCGCTATAATTAATTAAACAGCACATTTACTTAAATGACGTGTGATTAATTAGCAACAAAATATGAATAGGTATTATATTTGTACTCGATATGTGAAAATAAAAAAATTTGATTATCACTTGTGGGAATTGAACCAATGTTTAATGTTTTTTTTTATATTTAAATTATGATTATTAAGAATATAATTAGAGAAAATTATTTTAATTCCATATTTTTAATAGATAAAAAACTATAAAAGTGCAACATACAGCAGACTCTTTTTCAAAAATTATCTTAATAGAGAGAAAAACTGATTAGCAATGCATTTTCAAAGAAATTTATTCACGTCTCTCTCTCTCACTTTTTTCCTCCCGTTCAAGTATATAATAAATGGAGTGGGGATATTTCCTTTTCTTTTGGTTTTTCAAGTCTTCATTGAAGTTGGCATGTACTCACGTCCCTCGATGGTATATAATTTTATCTGCCTTGAGATCCGAGCAACTTGTTAGCGAACTCGCGCAAAAACGAAAAGAGAAGAAAAAAAGGGCGCATAGCCATAAAGATGCGCAATTTCTTCTTCGAACCCTAGTATTTTCCTCGTTTTTCCTCTTCTTTTCTACAACCCCAACTCTTCAACCAACAACGCTTTTCGTCAGTTTCATTGAATCGAATCTTCATCCATCTTCGTATCTGGTTGTGCAAAAGTTGTTGCCCTCTAAAAACTTTTGCCTCGAGAAAAGATGACGATGAGACACGACTTCTCATGTTTCTTTTAAAGATAGAAAATGAAATGAAACCTGACCAACAAGAAGATATCTCCTTACCTTTCAATTCAAAATGAGTGTTTCCTATTACTTTGTTGTTTGAAAATGTCATTTGAATCGCACTTTCATACAAAAAACTTTAATACCCCACACTTTAACCGGTTTCTTATAACATATTGATTATTTTGAAATAAGAATTTTTCTTTTTATGGTGCAAATAGGCGAAAATGTTTTATTTTCAATTGAAGCTAAAAATTGTTTTCCATAATTAAAAATATTTGATTGTTTTGTTCAAAATAAAATAACATTCTACACGGTTTTTCCAATCTTTCCGCATCCCTTAGGTTGGTGACAACAATCGCCAGCTTCATGCCGCGCTTGTATGGTTACTCGGGGGTTTTTGGGGTCGCTGATTACGAATCCGATGTCAGTTTTCACAAATTCAAAATGGCGGATCCAATATGGCGGACAATAAATTGAAAATTCATCAGATTCGCCCGAAACTTGTTACTCGAGGGTTTTCGGGGTCGCTGCTTACGAATCAGATGTCAATTTTCATAAATTCAAAATGTCGGATTCAATATGGCGGACAAGAAATTAAAAATTCATCAGATTCGCCTGAAACTTGTTACTAAGGGGTTTTCGGAGTCGCTGATTAGGAATATGAAGTCAGATTTTCAAAATTCACAAAATTAAAAATGGCGGATTCAATATAGCGTATAAAAAATTCATCAAATTCGACTGAATCTTGTTATGCAATAGGGGTGGTTGCGAGGGGGGTGTTTATCAATATTATACATATATAAGTGTCCCTTAGAACCTTTTTTTTATAATTTAGAAACTATAGACTTTTTTATCCTTCACAAAAACTTTTTACATCAAGGGATGGTTATTTGACATTAGAAGTGTGTTTTAGAGGGTTGTTTACATTTACTATCATCACTTAGTTATCATAGAAATATTTTTTTGTATTTTTGAAACGTATAGAATCAATAAAAAAAATTTTTTTTTATTTTTCAACACTAACATCAGTTTCTAAGAATAATTATAAAATA